CTTTCATGTGGGACTGACTAGACGCTAGGCACCCAACCTTAAAACACCTTGTAGGTGAGGCAGGGGGTGCGTTCCTCTAACTGGTCCGGAATGCGAACGCATGTAGTCAAAGCGGTGGATTCTGCCGCGCCCAACAACCATTTCCCGTGCCAAATTGTCCATTGCGGGCGTAGACCCCAAGCCTTCGTCAGGCCCAAACCAACCGGATCTGGAATAGGAAGGCGAACATCGGCAGTCTGGGGTGCAGCGATCAGATGGATATGATTTAGGCAAAGATGGGTCACAATACTTATAAATGTATGTACCAAATTAGGTTGTGTTCCTCGGACAGTTTGAACCGGCTTCTCAAGGAAATGGTTGAACTCCAAACAGTGCAAGCCTTTAAGACTCCACTCCATAAGCGATGGGTGGAACTATTCCCATCACTGGCAGTCTAGACAAGTGTAGGTGTGCCAAGTGTTTAGGATGCCTTTTCCCTTTTTAATGGTACACGCATGGAATGCTCACGTCTAATAATTCACTTGCCAACTTGGTGAGATGAGATTTTATTTCTCATTCTTATTTCAGCAGAGCTGGCTGCCCACCTTTTGAGCCTATCGTGAACGGAACTCTGGACGCTCGATTGACCTTTACCGCGCGGGCTTCGAATTTTGGAGTGGAGCCTTTCGCTGTAGAATTAGGCCGACACTAAGAGAAGGAAACACTCGAGGGTGCAATTTTCTGTTGGAAAATTTGCGAAGACGCAATTCGTACCAAGCCTCCCGCGCTGTAGATCGGAACTCTGAATCTGGAAGCCACAACTAAGCGAAACCCGGGTGATAGGACCAACGTGACGAATTCCTGTCCAAGTGAGCGACTAGCCTACAACATTTACTGCCGAGAATACTACCCAGAGTTAATTATCTTTGGCTTTTGTCGTTTTTGTGTAGGGTTTTCATCTTACACACCCCTCTTTACCGGATGTTGTCTTGAAGCGTATCTAGACAAGTGCCACGGTTGCTCAGAGAAATCCTCCTAAAGGGGATACACGAGCCAAGCAGGTTATTGCACCCTACCCGTGTGCCAGAAGAAGGTGTTCTCTCGAGGTGATTGAGGGCATTCGTTGTGATCTGTGCCAAGATTGGTTTCACCAACGGTGCAGTAAACTAACTTCCAGGGCAGTTGAACACTACACTGTCCACAAGTTTCTGAAATGGGTTTGTCCAAATTGCACCAGCTCTATCGGAATATCCAGGGCAAAAACACTGCCTCCGAAAGGAAACTCTCTCTCACAGTTGGCAGTACAATCTCCTCCGTGTAACTCGACTCCAAGTACGCAGATGAACAGAAATAACCCCGAGCTAGGGCCCCAAATAATGCCTGGGGAGGGAAACCAGCCTGAAGTAGTTAACGACCGGGAATGGATTTTAGTAGGGGAGCCTGAGCGTGATGAACAACAAGCCACGTCAACGGCACCCCTAAGCCGAGGAGGGGTGAAGTCCAAACCTAGGGCACGCGTTGCCAAATCGGCAACCGCAGGGATCAGTGTGCAGGCCGCCGGAAAGAGGCGGGGAACCAACAAGGCTGCCCAGTGTCCATTGCCACCAAGGAAAGGAGCACTTGATGCTCGCATGGACGCTAACAAGGAGGCCATTGCGAACGTGCGGAAGTTGACCGAAGAGCAGGTACCCCCGCGACCACAACGCAACGGCCTCATCTAGCTCACCAAGCTGCAGGCAACAATTTAGCACCAAGCTTCTGTCCGTCAACGTAGCAAGAGTGGGGCACAAGAACCGCGCAGGAAAATGACTCCCGCTCCCAGGGCTGGCCCGAGGGATGAATCTCTATGGCACGAAGACCACAATAGGGTGGTGGACCCGCAGGAAAACTCTACCACAAGACCAGAGGTAAAAATCTTGGAGGTCACCGGGGTGCAACTCCCGGGTGCAACCCCTCAAAAGCAATAGGAGGTAAAAGGGCGCAGGCTCTCAGTGTTTACTACATTAACGCGTGCAGCCTAATGAACAAGTGGGCCGAGCTCAGAGCTGAGGCTGACCAAATGCACCGTCTCGCCATAACGGAGACCTGGCTCAAGTCTGATTTTTGTATTGCGGGATTCTGTCCACCAGGAATCCGGGCTTATCGCTGCGATCGTCCAGGGGATAGGCTGGGCGGTGGTGCTCTACTGCTCGTGGCGGACCACTTTCCTCAGACGGCCGTGGATACCCTGTGCACGGAGAACATTCAGGCTGTTGGGTGTGTAATCAAGCTCTCAGGAGCAAGCTTCGCAGTCCTGTGTTTATCGTAGCCCAAGCGCATCGACGAAAATGAGTTGCTGATAGATTTTCTCCGGCACACAACAACTCGGGCAAGTACTGGGGGATTTTAATGCTACTGAGATCGAATGGGGGATATAGTATGCGCCAGTGGGCAGCTTTGGGGATGAGCTACTAGAGGTGATGCATGAATTGGCACTCACCCAGCACGTCACCGACCCCACCCGATGGCGACTGGGTAACTCTCCGAGCACCCTAGAACTTGTGTTAACCAAAAGCAGGAATGAGATCAGGATCAATGCCATAGGTGCACCGCTAGGCAAAAGTGACCACGCTAGTATCCGGTGCCAATACGGCTGTGCTCTTCCGCTTTCTCAAGCCAAATTGAGGCGACGCTATGGGCGCATGAATACCGAATGTCTCCAGGCTGCAGCTCAAACCATAGTCTGGTCAGAAGCAAACTATGAGACTGTGGAGTCGTGGAATTTGATCAGGGATAACC